TTTTTTTTTCATTTATGCTCTTGTTTTGAGCAGTACTTCTTCTGCTTCTATACTTTAAAGGCTGGAAAGACTGACAAACTTGAAAGTCTTTGGCGCACGACAACAAATAATTGTCGGAGTTTTATCGTTGTTCTTTGAAGCAATAGTGAAAATATTCAGAATAATATATTTTTATAATGGATGGTTAAACGTACCCATTGCCGCAAAACGAACCACAGCATGACAGAATGTCTGCGTCGGAGACAATTTTCTGCAACACCAAGGGCATTGTAACCATCATGTACACTATATATTTTTAGTCCAACCTGTATCTTGCCTTTACTTCGGATGCACAACCTATCAGACATAACCGAAGCTGCAGAGACAGCCCAACAAGACCCTGAAAAAATTTTTTGTTGGTAGTACCATTTTGAGCGAGACAATTAAACCATAGGCAATATTTTCTTTTACCGCAATTAGCTTGATCACGAATAGTTCTGATAGATTCACAATCTCGCCACTTCTCTCGTGCATCAAATCTGAAAAAAAAATGCTATGAAAAGTGAAACTCCTAACTCAAGTGTTCAGTTACTGAAGCAACATGCACCTGTCTGGAATTTTTTCGTTAGATGCACTTTCCTTTATCTTTCGGATATTCGTGCATTTCGTCAAGTACTTCACATCCATCAAGCGAGATTTGAATTCTTCGTAGGTCATACTAGAATGATTTGCCTGCAAAACAACACTGATCTGGAGAAGAAGCTGATGAATACGCTTTTTGTTGCGTACTTATGGGCGAAGTATTACGGTCGAAGTAGTATTGCGGCATAGCAAAAGATCAACAATGATGTTATGTTTAGAGAAAAAATGGACCGTAAAAGACCGTTAAAAATTTACCGTAAAATATGGTTGATTGTTGTTAATGTAATCAATCAATGCCTGTCCTGTCAAATGTTTAGCGTATTCAGGGATCGGGCGAGCCTTGAACTCGGCTAAAGAAAAGTATTTAGAATATTTCGAAGCTTAGCATTTGAACATATTAAGCATTCTGAAAAGCTCGCTATCTTAAATTAGATATTGCATTGGAACTTGTACGTAGCTCTGCCCTCTGCTACATTAACCAACCTATAGACATGATTTTGTTGGCAGTGACAAAGGAAGCGGTGAATAGCGTTAGAAATATGGCGATCTGAAAACGCACATCTTCATACCAGTTCGAATTTCCATTTGGACAAAATAGGCTTTGGCTGCCCAACAATTAGAGAAATTCTCTTTTTTTGATGATGAAATGAACTTACCATGATGCGCTCTTGACAAACCATATCAAGATTGATTGTAGCGTTATCTGTCATAGTGTTTTCCTTAATTTTTGGAACGCCTTTGCTCCGTTTTGTCTTTTGATATGAAGTTTCTCCTTTCAGCCCTTCACTATCCTCTGATCGCGAACGTGTGTTGGTGCATGGTGAGGCGTGCATAAAAAATTGAAATAAACAAGATTACAGCTTTACACCCGAACAATAGCAAGCAAGCAACTCGCAGCAAAATGCGATTTTCAAGCAAAAAGCAGAAAATCTTAGAAATTCCAGTATAGGAATGCACTGATACGATTGCAACGTTTATAAAAGCTAAGGTCCATAAATTTGAAGCCCTAAAAAAATGATTCGAATCTGAGCAAACTCGGAGTTAACTCACAGTCAACCTCCAAGTAGGCTGGCAATTGAAAAATGAATTAAACCGCGAGTTAACTACGAGTTGAATCTCCTAGTAGGCTGGCAGTTAAATGAAATGAAACTGCGAGTTAACTGCGAATTTCAGTGATAAGGTGATAAAGTATTATAATAAATGGAGATACAGGTTCAGGCATAGCACTGTTCA